TTGGTTTTGTTAGGTTACTTGGTATCGATTGAAAAAGTAGATAATTATATTTAACAAATTGTAATCTCTGTATCACCTACAAAAAAAACATGGGACTAGTTTTCACGAGACTGGGGTAAAAAAAAAAAGTGCCTAGCAAGATTCACAAAACATTTAAGTTCATTTTCACGAGAGTGGTTGTAAGAAAGAAATAAAACTGGGGCCCAGCAAGATTGACAGTAAAATACAGTATCGGTGAAAACCTCCAGTCAGTGACTATGTTTAAACTAAAATCTCGACAAGTCGGCAGGTGAGATAAGGAGGGTTAATATTATTAATAACACTATAATGTTTGTTTAACCCCCTAAACACTGACCAACTTGATGTTTAATAAGTCAAATATCTGAGGCCAGGAATCTGTGAATTAACACTCTTATCTCTTACCCACAGACACCTTGCCCCACCCCCCTCACGGCTTTAAACCCTTAAATCCCTTACACATCATAATCTGCAATATTAGAGATTATTTTATGCTGCCACACCTGGTCTCCTCTCGGATTGTAAATTAAAATCCTTAGGGAACTTGGGACCGTAGGGGGTTGATATTCCAAAATTAGATTTGACTAAGAAAGAAAAAAACAACTATATTTTACAATGATAACAACTTCCTGAGGAACCTGTCTTCCAGCTGGCCCTTCACCAAACCTCTTGGCATTGATCTTTCCCGGATTATCTGTACCCATTTACAGCTGGGGTGACTAGAAGTATGAGTGAAGATGACTCATAGCAATCTCATCTCATACTGTCGACGCATGTTTCTACTATAATCCTCATCAAGACGGCTAGTTTCGGATTTGGAGATTAACATTGCAAGCGAACTCATTGAATAGTTGTTTCATAGTAGTAATTCGAGACTATACAACTCAGAATGTAGGATTATCAAGTCTCAAATCTAAAAAGGGAAAAACCCAGTGAGCTTTTACAAATTTGATTATCTATATCAATAGGAAGCGAATAGAAAAGAAAATTCAAACATTTTTATACAAAATTAAATTTGGCCTTAAAACTTTTAATAAACTTTCAACAACTTCTTTTTGTTTTTCGTCGAATTAAATATTAAATTGTTTCATTATATAAATGGGAAAAATTAAAAAAATAGTCGTTTTCTTTCCTTAATTTCGAGTTATGTTTTTTTAAGCAGCCTGTAAACAGTAATGGCTGACGTGGAACAACGTGAGACCGCCAAGTAATAATTAAAATTTTGTGATGCAATTTTAGACTGTATTGACTCTCTCCTTCAAAATATCTTTACACTCACGTTTGGTATTGATATCTGAAGTTTCAAATTTTATTTTAGGTTCGTAGATTTTAATATTCTTATGCAAAAGAGGGCTTCAATTAATGCACATCTTTTTAGCCGGCTGCGGTCAATAATAACAAGGTTTCGTAGCCTCCTGATACACTTGATATACTTACTGAGCAAGACTTCAGAAAGTTGATAACTCAAAACCTGTCAACCTGTCTGGTTCAAAATGAATTTTTCTTTACAGTAAAGTAGGAGTAGAAAATTATCAGTTTGACTGATCCACTAATTCTGGTGTTAAATCTTTTAAAATCAGAACCTTGCCTTTCTGATTTCCAATCTGAGCCGAGACGAAGATGAGTGTAATAATCCGAAGTATAAAAGTTGTTAATATTACGATCTGTCTCTTGTTTCTGATTGGTTGTTATGTCAAACTTCACGTTAACAGCGAAACTCCGTCAGATAATCCCAGGACTGATTTAACAGTCGTAGACGCAGATGATGATGAAGGTAGGTTTTCAAATTCTCAATAAAGCAGGGCATGTTTGTATTTCAATAAATTCGAAGTCATTTTACAACTTGGGTTTCTATCGTGAAGCTGATATTCCCATTCACAGAAAGATTATCGTTAAAATTGATTCACCAACAAATCTCAGAAAACACAAAATATAATTATGGGATAGAAGCGTCATACGCTTCAACTCATGTTTTTATGTTTATTATATTGATCTAGATGGTGTAGTGACAGTAGAAGAAAGTAACGGTGAAATACCGTACGATAAACTCAATGTATTTATTCCAACTAAACAATGGCAGACTGTACAACCAGGTAGGTTACTTTCTCTAGTCATCAAACACAATCATATTCTTCTGTGAATGCATTGAGATTTTGTGATTTGAGGCTTGGAAATCGTAAACAAACTCCCATACAAACATTCCTGTTTAGTCTTTGGAATTTTAAGATGTTTGATTATTGATCAGGTCAAGCCATTCCTGCTGGGTTACACGTTAGATTAAATATGAAAACAGGAGAACGAGAAGCCAAATTAAACGAGGGAGATACAAAACCTAAATATTGGAAATTAGGAGAAAAACAAGGTAGAGTTTATATAGTATATTAGGAAATTAGTATTTTTAATGCTATTATTCCATTTGAGCACTTAAAGACAATCTTAGGAGAGCAAAATTTGACCCTGAGTTAGAGGTAGAGTTAACGGATCTTTCTTATATATTATTCATATAGAAAAGGTTTCGGAAAAAAGACATGATAATCTGTCACCTAACGTCTTAGTCAAAACCAGGAACATTTTCATCTTCTTTGATTACTTGATTCTTGATTAAACTAGTAAAATTCTGTTTATTTTGAAGGAATGGTTAATTCAGATAAAAAGACGTTTACAAGAGATGAATTAAAAAGAGCTTTAAAAGATTTTAAATCTGAAATTATTGATGATGATTCTAAACAGGTAAAACTATGAAATTAATAATATCATTTTTATTTCTGTGGACGTTACCCAGGTTATGATATTTCTGTAGGCTTTACCCAGGTTATGATATTTCTGTAGACTTTACCCAGGTTATGATATTTCTGTAGGCGTTACCCAGGTTATGATATTTCTGTAGACTTTACTCAGGTTATGATATTTCTGTAGGCGTTACCCAGGTTATGATATTTCTGTAGGCGTTACCCAGGTTATGATATTTCTGTAGACTTTACTCAGGTTATGATATTTCTGTAGGCTTTACTCAGGTTATGATATTTCTGTAGGCGTTACTCAGGTTATGATATTTCTGTAGACTTTACTCAGGTTATGATATTTCTGTAGGCGTTACCCAGGTTATGATATTTCTGTAGGCTTTACTCAGGTTATGATATTTCTGTAGGCATTACCCAGGTTATGATATTTCTGTAGACTTTACTCAGGTTATGATATTTCTGTGGTCCAAACAGGGAATTCTTGTAATTTAAATACAACAGCTTGAACTTGGTGTTTAAATTACAATACAATGATTATAATCTTATCACATGGAAAGGTAATTTGTCAGATCTTTCCAACCAGCAAGCCAACAATGAAAATGATTCAAATTAAATCACCGTGTTTGATGTAAAACTGAAAAAGATATCTTTGTGCAAAATTTTAACACAAGCCGTCCACTTTATTCTTAGGTATAATATTTAATAATTAAATCACCATTCCGTTTAATGTTCAGGTCATTCCTTAAATAATTTAACTGTTACAGTCCAGGCTATTGTGTTCATTTCTTCTTAAACTACTCTATAATAAAGACTTCTTGTACATCTTGTAAATCTAGTGAAATTATTTTCTCAGACTAGTGGTAATTTTAAAAGTTATAAAGAATTAAAAGAAGATTTTAAAAAGTTAAATATTGGTGTAAAAACAGATATTGAGATAATAAATGATCTATTAGAGAAATTAAACCAAGAAAAACTTGATACAGAATCTCACAAATTTATTCTGAGTGACTTGGAATATTATCTTCATCAGGTAAGGGGCATAACTCTTTTTTCTTGATTCTTTCTTGGACTTACGAATTATGAATATTTCAATCAATCCAGCAGAATTGGAGGTTCAGGATTTTTTGCAGTCACAATAATCTGACAAAATTCTTCATAAACCCTTCTCATACAGTTTGTTAATCATTTTATCAAAAAGAGCAATCTAACTATTTTAATGACCTAGAACATGTGTTGTTTAACAATTTCTTCAGATCATGGATATAAAGTAGATTATCATTATTTATTTTTAGATTGATAATGCTGTATATTTCTGTGATATTAGGGGTATGGAGTTATTATTAAAATATTTAAACAGTACGCAGGATGAGATTCGATCTGAAACAGCTCTAGTTATAGGTTCAGCTTTACAAAGGTATAAAACTTAGTTTTTTTCAAGCTCAATGAAGGCTCAGTGGTTAGGGTTAGAATTAAGTTGCCAATTAACTTGAATAAAATCAACTTTATTAAAACATCCATCTGACTTACAAGCACAAGGTTCTACTTTATTTCTATTCCTGCTTCATGCGTTGTGCCTTGTCCTTTTCCATCTTTATTTAACTGATAATGTCCAAAACCAATGTTTAGTGATATTTCTTTTTTCTTTTTTTATTTCAGCAATCCCAAGGCTCAAATATCGGCATTAGAAACTGGACTGATGCAGCCTTTAATACGATTGATTTCATTGGATAAATCTACAGCATTGAGGAAACGTTATTTGTATGCCTTGTCCTCATTGGTTCGTCACTTTCCCTACGCCCAATTAAAATTCGTACAATACGGAGGGCTGTCTGTGTTTAGTAAACTATTTGAGGAGAGTGGAACAGAAAGTTTACAAATTAAAGTTATAACTCTGTTAAATGATTTACTGCAAGAAAAAGTAAGGTTTTAAGAATTATTATACATTTTCAAATTGTTTTCCTTGTAAATTCAATGTTAAGAGGTTTGGTCAACGACTGGATTATCCTGATTTTATATTTGTTAGAGTATTAAATGTATGTTTAAATTATTTCAGATTTTAACAGAGAATGACCCACAAGACAATCAAAATTACAGAGAAAAATTAAAACAGTATCAAAAGTGAGTTTACATTTTAGTCTCTGCTTCTATCAATGTTTCATATCTTTACTTCTATCATCTTGAGGTCTTCACTATCCTTTTCAAATCCAGTTGTAATAGTCTGAGATCCATCAGCAAAAAATTTTTTTATTTGGTGTCTCCTGTCAGTGATACAGTTCAGATGGGCTGGGCTGACACGGAGAAACATCTTCTTTCATAAATTTGACAATAAACTGAGGCCCCATGTCCTACAGGTTTTGCAAGTTTAAGGTCTCGTGACAGTCAGAATTCGAAAAGAGAGAGTTAAGCAGCTTACCAACAAAATTATCTAATTGCCCATAGCGTGTCGTCTTCATTAGCCCAATCAGGAGCAGGCAAAGTAAAACATAAACTCAATCTAATTTCCAAAATAAAACTAAATACAATTTACTCTGGATATATTGACAAAGTTAAAAGGTCTGTTAAAATTAAAGTGTTGATTTTAAAGTTGTTGAGACCAATACTTAGTTATCAGTGATTAAGTTTGATTGTTCAGTGTCTAAAATCAATCAATAATATTGATCTATTGGTTGTTGATCTGTTATTGTTTATTGACTATAGATCTATCATTCTGTTTATCTACCAGAGGTTATAAGTAGGGATTTATGATAATATATTCAGTTTCTGATATTGTCACCTTAGACATTGTTTTTCCTAATAGCCTGTCTGAGGCCATTGTCCCTCATTGCACACTGCTTGGCTTGACTTGCCTGTTGTCTGTTATAGCTTTTTAATGTGTAATAAAACTTCTATTTTTTTTCTTTGATAACTTGCACTCTTTTCCTAAATTGTTTGATATTTATTACATACAAGGATCTGAACTCAAACTTTCTGACAAGCCAAAGATGTTTTACTCCATTATGTCAAGAAATCAGTTTTGAAACTTTATTTTTCNCAGAGTGAATGTAAAAGATGAGATGATAAAGACTGGTTGGTGTAAATTAATACCTTCGTTACTAGAACTTCCTGATCACGATAGTCGCGAAAAAATTATCATTGCCATGACAACATTACAGACATCATGTTGGAATGAATTTGTAAAATATCGACCAGTGTTGACGAGGTTGTCGAAAGAGTACGAGAGATTATCTCATGAAGATGTCACAGATTCTTATTTTACAGATCTTCAAAAAATAATTCAAAATTTACTGGATAATTTAAATAAGAAGATTGAATTATAGTATCTTGTTGTACAATGTATTACATATCATATTATTTATCTTCAGTCTTTAGGTCTGTCTTCACTAGTCTCATCTTTTACAAATTCCTTTCCCTCATTGCACACTGCTAATCTTCATTAGCTCAAGTGACTCTTAATCATTTATATACTATTATGTAATAACAAATAATAATCATGTATAAATGTTGTTTTGGATTTCGGGTTTTGTTTTACTGTTCGGATTGTTAATTCTTGATTTATTTATATCAGGATAATATTTTTGGTTTTGAGGTCTATGTTAGAAGTACTACAAATTCCTAATTTAACATTGAAACCTTTACTTTAGTGATCACCACTTTAACATTGTGTCAGTGTCTTCTGTTGAATAGTTACTTATTATCAAGCTATTATGAATTTTGTCTTGTACATCTTCACAATGTCAAGCTATTATGAATTTTTTCTTTTGTAATAAATTGACATTGTGAAGATGTCACCATTGCTGTTTAATCGTGTAAAAATATCTGTATCTAATATGTTAGTAAAAATAATCTCTTTTATTAATCGTTAAGTTTTGTTTTATGCCACAAACTATTTTATTGACCCTTTATCAATTAATAGATGAGACTGTAGTTCACTTTATCCAAATAGCTGACGTGGGAAAAGTGTCTTGTCGTTCTGGTTGGACAATAAACTAAGGCCCTGTGTGCTGCAGACAGTACATGTTAAAGATCCCTGGAAATTGAAGAAGAATATGCTAATGCCAATGTCCTGGCAAAGAAAAGTAAGACATAAAATTTAGTTAGAATTCAACTTATGGAAGATAGTTAAAACATAAAAAATAAATAGTAGGTCCTCATACTTTTAATTCACTCTATTACAATTGAAAATAAACACAGTTAATATAACATCAAATCATACTTTTATCAATCAATTTTACAGTTTTTATACCAATATACTACCGTAGTATTCACATTTTGACCTTTGACCTTCTTTAATGCACTTTAATTAGTCCCATATCAGATCCTAAACAACATTTCTAAAACTAGATGAGGATTTTATATCAAAAAATGTTAACAGATGATACAAACTTCTATCAATTTTATACAGTTGTTCCTAGTTTATCAGCAAACCAATTAAAATTCTCAACATCTTTATCTCCTACTTTATAATAGCGATCACGATGATGCGTCCAAAACGCAGCCCTCACTACATTCCCCTTTGAGTAGTCATCTTTATATAACTTCCATTTCGCTAATTTCTGCATCTGTTTATGGCGTCCTTTCGATTTACATTCAACATATAACCGACCGCGACGTTTAACAAAATAACAGGCTCTACATCGAAGTCGTAGCAGGTCTTTTACTTTATAATTCCGTACTTGGTTGATATTAATTTCTGGTTTACGGTCCGTATTTAACAAGTTGAAAGATGAACCTCGGATAGTTTTGGTGCAATTTCCTCCAATATTTAAAACACTAAAGTTACGAACTGTCTGTTGTAGTGGTGGTTGTAGATAAGTCTGTTGGGAAATAGAGAGTGGTATCTTCGGAACAGTTCCACTTGTCTTACCAACTGACAGCAGACTTGTCTTACCAACTGACAGCAGTGTAGACATTGGACCAAGTTTTAAATTGTTAAGTTGTCTTATTAATGAAGCCATCTTGACCTGGAAAGAAAACAACCTAGGGGACAATCATGTCTACAGTAAACAAAATAAACCAAACAACCGAGTTATACCAATGTGCACATAATAATAAAATACTGAAGTAATCTAGAAGCAATTAGTCTTTGTGCTTAATACAAATCAATGGTCAGGTATATCTATTGACAGTAAATATTTCCTTTATGACTTTGCTAACTTTTATCTGACCGTAGGAATGCACAGAAATCTGTTCACACTATTATTTCTAATGAAGCATCCTTGAAATTGAGAACTAGAGCATTCGGCTGTTAAAAGACAATGTTTACAGCATGGCGTTCGAGTGTTTGCAATAAACTTCACGTGCTTATTTCATAACAGCGACTTTAAAATGTTACCTGATACAAAAACAGCCTTCAAATTATTTCATTCGGCTGATAAATCAATGCTTTTCTTTCAAATCTTTCACATTTTCTCTTCCTAAAGTTATTCAATGCTTGATATTGACAAGGGCAAATAACTCTCATCGTCAATTCAAGGGACGTAACTCATGACTCAATTTCTTTCAGACCACAACTAAATTCTAGCTGACTACTCTGGCAAGAACAGGGCTGCAACCTTAAAGTTTCTAATATAACATGGTTTATTAACCTGAAATTCCCTTTTGATGAGTCAATATAGATCATAATATTCATTTGGTGTCGAAAGCCTATCTAGGTTTGTCAACTCCATCATGGAATCTCCATGACGTCACTTTCAGAGAGTCCACATTGTTAATATTGCTTATTTGGTGTTTAGGTTTGTCAACTCAGCATCCCTTTCAGAGAGTCCACATAGTTAGTAATGTTTATTGAGAACACATACATGGTATTCAACATGATACAAAGTTTAAATTTTGCAGAAATTAATGAAAGTTTACCCCAGCATGGTTTCAGGGTACACAAATAAATAATTCAAGTCATAAATGTTTACATCTTAGATACAGTTTTCAACTTTATACAAAATACAAATAAAATAAATTAAGGGACAAGTTTATAGGATAGAATTCGAATAAAAAAATTAATGAAAAGTTGAAGAAAGGATGTTTTTACAAAAGAAAAGAAATTGGGAGAGAAGTTAGTATATGAAGAATAAAATACTTTGGTTAGAGAATTAAAGAGTAAGGGTACAGATGTTAATAAATACAGGGGTTATTAGCAGAAGGTTATTTTATAAAAGTATTAGGAGTTAAGAGTATAAAAATGTATTTATCACAAGGTATTGAATTATAGAAGGTATAGGGAGATAAATTAAGAGATAAGTTTTATTTAACTTGAGAATATGGTCAGTTTAAAAAGAATAAGCTGTGAACATGGATTATGAAAATAAATTCAGTACAAAGTTTTGAAAGAAAGAAAGAAAGAACAAGAGACAAGTTTAAACTGGAGAAGACAGAGGTTATATAAAATAATAAGCAGTTAACATGGCTTATGAAAATAGAGTGTTTTTGATAAAAAAATAAATTAAGGGGCTAGTTTGGAGTAAACAGGGGGAGAGAATTTTTTTCGGAGATATTTCAGCACGTAGAGTGGAATACAGCTAACAGAAGTTATCACCAAAACTTTCCAAACAAAATCCCACGTCTGTAAAAACTTGGTGTCTGAAACAAAGAAGGAATAAGATGAAGAACATTAACACAACGAGAAAAAAGGCAAAATTACACACTGACATGTTGTTTATATAATGCTCTCTATAGAATTAGTCACAGTTGGATTTTGCTACGTGTCCCAGAGAGAGAGAACAACATTTAGAGCTTCTCAAGTAGATCTAATTTCAATATAGACCATAGAAATTTAACTCTTACCAAAATAATCTTTGAGAACATACAGAGAAGCAATATAAATTCCTAAACTAAATATTTCAGCCACGATCATTAAATAATGCCAAGTTCGTATCGTCAAGGCAACCATTAGTAGCTCCGTTAATATTAACGAGGTGAACGTTATAGAAACAACGTGAATGAATTCTTCTTCAAATAGAAGTAAAGCACCATACATTATTATACCACCTAAAATAATAATATTATTCACTTGATAAGAATTTATCTTCTAATTTAAAATTCTCCACAGCCTAATAATAGTGGGATATTTTACACTGATAGATTTTTAACTGTAGTAAGATTAAAACTACATTTAGAACGAGATCAAGTAACAAGGGAATATATGATGGTATAAAACACTTCTTAAATAACACTAACATTTCAATACAATTTACACTGTCGTCATCAGATGAAATAAAGAAAGAGGGAGTAAACATGAGAATATTTAGCATTAACTGGAGTTTATCTTGTACTGTTGAAAAACGCCATATTTGAAATTAGAACGTGAGAACATGAGATATTAAACCAGCTTACCTTGATAAATACTGATTAAAACCCACATAAAAAATGTTTTAAATGATAATGAACGTCCCTGAAACAAATAAGATAAAATCAATTAAATTGATAGTCTACTATGGTTAAGTACCATTAATTAAGTGTTTAGCTGAAGGAATAATTCAGTAACTTTGGTCAGGCGTTCTGTAACTAGCCTGTTTGTACCGGGCAGCTATCATCCCTTTTCTTTGACGTTCTCTTTCTAACAAGTGGTTTTTAGAGTATCTGCTAGCCAAGCCCCGCCAGTGTTTCTGTGATTGATATAATATATAAGACAATTTGTACCTTAGTTAGTTCTTTATATAACTCAGGATAAGTCATGGCTATTGCCGCAGACACGTCTTTATCCAGGACCAATGAAAACACAGGATACATTGTGTAAATAGTAGCATAGCTAAAAATAGAATAAATCGACCAATGAAAATACAGGATACATCGTGTAAATAGTAGCATAGCTAAAAATAGAATAAATCAACCAATGAAAACACAGGATACATTGTGTTTGGAGAGTCAACATAGCTATTACTGGTTCTTGGGGTTTACCAACTTGCCCTCCCTCTCAGGTAGTATTTAGCTTGTCTCAAGCTAACACAACTATTTTTGGAATACAACCATCCAATACTGAACATTAACTATAAGTAAAAAAAGTAAACACAGTGAACAGGAGTAGAAAGGAGAATATTCTCAAGGTACTTACCCAATCATGAGAAAGCCAGGGAAAAGAGCAATGGAAGCGAAGTAGAAGACAGAGACGAATACAGCCTGCATGACTGTTATAATTAAACCACGGTGAATTACAAACTGACTTAACGAAGCTGATCTTTTATAACTAAAATAAACAATACAATATGTTATATAAAAATAAATATCAATATTTGAAAGTTGTAAAGAGGAATGGGGTTATCAAATTTCGCCTGTTTCAACTTCTCATATGTACAATATATATCCTAACATTTCAGTATCACTTCACACCAGAATGCTGATATTTCCCTGGTTAAAACTTCCATAATAATAGATGAAGTTTGTTAGAGAGGATTACTGATGTTTTATGTTTTGTGCACAAATAGCTGAATTTCAACAAAATATATTTAATCATGAAATATAATAAACCATACCTGTTTCTACCATGTACCATCAATAATCTACCAATATGACTGAACTGAGTGATAGAGAAATCAGCTGCCAGTGACGCTTGTTTACCTTCCTATAAAATATAATAAATAAATTAATAATTCATGGTGCAATTTTCGGCTTTTCCGTTTCAACCAACTTCCGGTTGTTAATGATCAGTCTAATTTCTATAGGGAGCTAGCCAACCTTGGCAAATTTCCTGTCATTTTATAAAGGTAATGATAAGCCTGTGACCCCCACCCATTCACAATTCTGTGACCCCTACTCTTCTTTCCCAAAATGAAAGGATTAGAATGTCACCTACCTTACCCACAATACCAATTCCTGCGTTAGCCGCTTGTATCATACTAACATCATTTCCTCCATCACCTGGTAGAAAAAATACACCATTCTCTTATTAAAATCATTTATGGAAACCAATAATATTTCTATAGAGTAAGACAAGTAAGCATGCTCTGTCTTGCTACAGAAATCAATAATATTTCTACAGAGTAAGACAAGTAAGTATGCTGTGTTTTGCTACAGAAACCAATAATGTGTCATACCTATAGCTGAGGTTCTCTTTCCAGTGTGAACACGTAATAATTTAACTATTTCAGCTTTCTGAGTTGGTGAACATCTACAAACTACGACAGCCGGACATTGACAGGCTAGTTCTACAAATTCATGTTCATAATACTTTAAACAGATCTGAAATACAAATTAATAGAAATTATAAAATAAACCATAGATTAGAAATATTAAAACAGAACTTGAATCATGTTGTTACTCAGAGTTTCACGCTATGAGATTCAAAATAATTAATAAATCCCCTAGCAAACCAAATAAGCTTACATGAGCCATACGCTTTATCTTAAGGTAGACTAAATCAAACTAAAGTTATAGAAACTATTTGAAGGCAAACATGGCGTACATAGATATATTTGCTGGCCTATAATATTGAAAACTCTCATGTAAACAGATATTGACTTGAAGCAAGGGATATTGTTACCTGTAGAGAATCTCCCATTATAATTAAGAATATTGTTACCTGTAGAGAATCTCCCATTATAATTAAGAATATTGTTACCTGTAGAGAATCTCCCATTATAATTAAGAATATTGTTACCTGTAGAGAATCTCCCATTATAATTAAGAATATTGTTACCTGTAGAGAATCTCCCATTATAATTAAGGCAGCGTCGTTTTTTCTACGAAGAGCGTTTAGTTCAAGATGAGCTTCGGTCCGATCTGTAACCTTATTGAAGGTATAAATATCTTGGGTACGTGAAACTAACTTGGAACTTTTAGCAATACAGGTTGCTGTCTCCATTTTATCACCAGTTAACATCCAAACCTGGAGAAAAAACATCAAAATCTGAAGATGTCAAGATTTCAACACCCTGACTAAGTAAGCTTCAGTCTGTCCTCAATTTTATATACTATCAACTAAGCCATTTCACAGACATTGAGTTTTCTTTCATTGTTCATTCACCTTCTATACACAGTTCTATGAAAGAACTGTCAAACTGTGGTCTGAATTATTCATTTCTTTACAAGAGTTACTTCCCTTTAGTCATAATTTGAATTGCCTTCAAGGAAATTTGAATGTACAAAGCATGGCTGGTTTAATCTTTCTGAATCCTTTTCCATTATTTGAAACCCCCAACAAAATAGACAATTAACCTCTATTTCTTTAACTAGCTGTCCTGATGAGGATTTTATATCCTAAACATGTGATGAGGTCTTATAAAGTACCTTAATTCCAGCGTTTTTCAATAATTCTAGAGTAGGACGAACTCCATCTTGTAGTTTGTCTTCAACTCCTGTTAAACATAATAATTCTAAATCTCGTTCTAAACTTTCTATGACGGCCTGCATTTTAACATTTCTATCTTGAATTGACATCTTAGCTTGGTGATATCTCGACTGAAAAGTATGGGAAATAGAAATTCCAGGAAAAAAGTAATTTAATTTAGGAACTCATTAAACAGAGTACACCCCAGAGTATCTACACAGCATGAAACATTACATTGGAGTGAACAGGTTCCTTATTTCTTCCTCAGCACTTTGAAACTTGACTATTAATTCCCAGATTGAAAATCACTGTTATACTTACTTCAAAATCTTGATATTGTTCTTCTGTTAAAACTTTCTTAGCTACAACTAATGTTCTTAACCCTTCTCTAGCCATATTACCACACTGAAAAATAATAAATATAACTTTACAACAGCTCCATTGCTTCTAGATCTTAGTGAATAGAAAATCTCAAGTTGCTATCCTTGTAAAAATATGTTTACTTTATCTTGATAATACCTCGCAACACAAGTTCTCCATGTAAAATCAACTATTTAAACTATCGAATTGGTAAGGGGGTACAATATTCTAGATATATCAATACAACATTCCTTCCACACAGCTGTTCTACCTGAAATTATCCTCTTGAGATTTATTCAACTAATGTGTATAAATAACACAAACCTCTTCCTCTAACCAATCATTATATTGTACTATCTGCTGCATGACAACATCCGCACCTTTCATATAGAATAATATCTCACCACTCTCTTCTTCCTATTATAGAAAAATATACTGTTTTTCAAGTTACGTATCAATTTGAGAAAATATCTACAGTAAACTAGATAAGTTACAGAAAATATAAATCAATAACCAAAATATAAATCAATAAACAAAATCAATAACCAAAATATAAATCAATAACCAAAATATAAATCAATAACCAAAATATAAATCAATAAACAAAATCAATAACCAAAATATAAATCAATAACCAAAATAATCTTACAGCATGGACTAACATTGAGAAATAACAAGAAGATTTTTGAGTGAAAACCAGACAAGAACTAACCTTAACTATAATTCCCATACGTTTACTCTCGGAGGTAAATGGGAAAACCTGTAATATCTGGTACTTCATTAAGGCACCAAGTGGATTTCGTAAAGTTATAGAACTTAAATCTCGTTTTACTAGTGTCAAATTTACATCTTCTGTCCACGCTACCAAGGCAACCTGAAATAAATGATTTAACATGTTCGATGAAAAAAAAATTCATTGATCTAAATGTCAAAATTTCTTGTAAGTTGTCTCAATTGTGACATATGACTTTTTTGACTTTTATTTTTGAATGCCAAGTGTTTGCTTAAGGACTAGCTGGTAGACAGGATCATCAAGTTGCTGCCAAGGTCCTGTTGATAAACAGGAGGCTTGAGAAAGTCCCTATTTATGTAAGATATATTTCTTTCTGTTTTATTACTGTACCTCATCTGGACTTGAAGCCTGATACGTGACTTTCTGTTGTATTTGTTGATCAGCCTCTGTTTCGTGTGATCTATCGCCCCCATCTTCCACATCCTCATAGACTGGCGTAACATTGTGACACAACGCGATCGCTTTCACGGCTTCATATACCTTCGTTACAACTGTACGTCTGACCGGTCCTGATTGTCTAGTAGGAGTTGTCCCTCCTCCTGATTGCTGTTGATTATATACAGTTCGTAAATGGGCAGACACCTAAAAAAAAATACACCGTGAAATTATCTACAATAACATTGTAAGAGGAACAACTTCTATTACTGAAACTTGCATAGTGCAAATAGATGGATGCTATAGACCTTTTTTCATGCCTCTCATTGGAAACATTGATAGCGAGGCTTGTATCGAGATCTGTATTCTAATCAAGCTGGTATAAAATAAACTAACCTCATCCATGGTTTCAGCTGTATATGCCACTGTTCCTAGATGTAACTTCTTAAAAACCTACAACAAGTCAAATCATTTATATTACACCAAAATACACATATATATATATACACTAGATATATTATACTCCTCTTATAGATATGATATGAAATCAAACAGACTTTTATATCTAATTTTTCGGAAAGCATTCCAGGGACAATGAGTGACTTTTTTTCTAAGAAACAGAATAAGCCTTCTTTTTGGGGGGAGATTTCTTACTGTTTAGGGATCATTAATACTCAATGATTGTGGAACACAGGACTTCTGTTTATATAATATCATCAATATTAACACTTTACGGCACTATTTAAACCTTAAAATATTTTATTAGGTAGATATTAAAGTTTAAGACTACAGTTGATATATATCTATTTATAAACTGACCATCTCGTTCTGTGTCAAGGTACCAGTTTTATCTGATAATAAATAGGTAATACGACCAAGTTCTTCCGGTATAGTAGAACTCCTGACAGTGGTTCCTGGTATTAACTTGTCTCTCTGTATCATCCAGGAATAAACAGCTTTACCCATGTCTAGATTTACTCGTAAACTGAAATTTAAATTATCAAAATTATGAATTAAGTGTTTGTTTAGAGATTCACTGGTATTATGTGAAATTTTTGATATGTTTTGTGTGTCTATTTGGTATTGTACTTCCTAGTTTTTTAATTATGAATTAAATGTTCAGTTTTTTGATATGTAAATAATATTATAAATGTATGATTTTTACTTGCAGTTTCTCTTCAACCTATGCATTATGTGTATATTAAGTATGGTAAAGTACTTGATACTTCCTTCAGCTATATAACTAGGAAAGCATCTTTCAGTTTAAGAAGGATCTTTATTATGCAATGCCTGTAGCAAACCCAATTTAAGCTAGTCTGCCCAGTGTCGGCTTTCACCCCTAATAACTAGGTGCTGAACTAGAGTTACCTACCTTATTGGTATTATGTATGAAAATAATAATATAAACCGGAATAAATAACGATACCAAGGTCCATTAAAACCCTGAAAATAACACAAAATATAAACTTTACTTTAATATCTTACTTAAAGACGTTGATTCTCTGAGAGGGATGTCTGATTACTGAACCTTGAGTTTTTAAGTTGCTAGCAACCTCCATGACAGTACTTAATGTCATGTACATATTAATCACAAAATAGAAATGTAATATGTAGGACTTTCTGAAAGGACAGCCAAGTAAACAAACTCTGCCTTGCTCGCCACACCCACCATCATTAATAATGTTGATGTAAATTTTTAAGGAAAAATAGAAATTTTCTCACCTTGAGTATCATCATAACAATAGATAAAATAATCACAGCAAAAAATAATAATTTAGTTAAAGTATTAATTTCTAAATCTAACAGACCAGTCTGAAATATAGAAAATAAAATATTAGATTAAAATTCTTTAAACATTTGTACTTATATCTGTCTAAATATTATGAGGTTTTGTATTCCATATTTACCTGGTACGCAGCCTTTATAGACTTTTACTACCTCTTTTCTACATTTTGTTCCACATTCATCTATGTGAACCCTGGGCCTAGTTTGGCCGACCCACAAACTTTATGAATATAGAGCCCCAATATTTTGATTTGGGGTCCAGTTTTTTATTTTTGTATCAGACCTACCTTACTCTGAGGTTTAGATGTGTTCATCACACTACGTGTCTCCCTACCGGTATAAATTACCGCCCCCAAGGCCGTGCCGGAAGCTACTACAGTATTCGCCCATAATGTATTCTCAATACTTAATGAATCTTCACAGGGGGTACCATCAGTCTATAAAACAAAAAATACAAAGTAACAAAACAATTCATAGAAAACAGTCATATTACGAGAATGCTAAAATCTTTCTTAGTTTCCCAATTATAGATTTTATTCAAATATAGACTAAATACTGATATTATTGTTGTTCTACCTACCCTAGAAAATGTTCCTATAAAACTGTGGATGGCTTTTTGAGGTTTTTCAGCATAAATATTACCACAAATATCTAAAATATCCTACAAAATACAACAATACATTATATTTACTAGCCTTTTTAGAAAATATTATAAACCACCCCAACCAATTAATTGTCAAAAACAACTTTTATAATATTTTTCACACAATTAAAAAACAGTTAAATAACGCACAGCATTTAATTCATATAACAAAATATGCATTTTTCAAGACTAGTATTGGAGCATTAATTTAAAAAAATAATATAAACATACAGCATTAGTTTGAAGACGTTGGGTTGTTGAGACGGCAAGTCGTAATTTCCAGTCTGTTTCTCCATCTAATTGATCAGTACGTATAAAACAACCTCCATCTTTCTCTGTCGTTCTTATTAAAACCATATCAGCTGGTACACGTTGATTCTAAATATACCAATTATAAAAACATGACAGTGACTTTCATTAAATATAAATTCAAGTTATTTTTTTATCTTTCTTCAACTAAAAACCTGTTTGTGTTCCTGTAATTCATATATTAACTTCAAACATTTCTAAACTCATTCCTAAATCATATTATGGTTGAATTATAAAACCATAGAAGTCAGATGGAGAAGTTAAAATAGAAACTGTAAGTGTCAAAGATACACATACAAAAGGTTCTTCTGAATCGCTTTCACATTATTGAAGTCCCAACCAGGCTAATGTAAAATGACTGGCAAATACAGCGATAACAACATCCCTGTGGTTTTCTCACCTTCTCAACAATAATCAGATCTCCAACTTTAATATTAGAGCTAGGAACATTGACAACACCATCTCGTGTTAATTTTTTATAGATCTGAGAGTTAGCCTCCTTATCTCTACGGTAACGTCTATAATCATCCATAGCTTCTCGACACATCGTTACAAATAATACAAAACACTGAAATATAATGAAATAGAGTTTTACATCTGATTATTCTGGTTAGTTCTGATTGGGCCAATGAAACGGGTAATGCCATGTAGTTTGCAATGAGTGTATTTTGTCAGGACAGTAGAATTGTCTATCATATTTGCCAGGTGAATATGACATGTGTAGTCAAATAGTTTACTCCCATTTAAAAAAACAAGTTGTTCTGATGAGGTTTCAATATTTGAAATACATATTTGTTTTGTGACGACTGGTGGAAAATGAAAGTAGAAAATGAAAGTAGTAAACTCACTAGAGGTCCCCAGTAAGTATATAAATAACCAATTCTAATAGCTGGGATAAACTGAGATGTGGCCATTACTAGGAAATATAAATTCAGGAAAAATTTAAACTGTTCGAATAACACCTGGAAAACAGATTTAAAATAGTTACAATATTCCAGTCAATCTGCCTGTAAATGGATACTGAATAAGTCATCTTCACTCAGAATTCTAGTCAACCTAATAATAAATTTGTATGAATAATCCAGGGAAAGATGGGTGCAGAAAGTTTTAGTCTGATACCAACAGGCCAGTATCTGGTTGACAGGATCCTCATGAACCTCAGTTGTAATCTTTGTAAAAATTGTTTTTTTTTAAAGAAATTGACAATAATATCATGACATGAGAATATTTTGACAGTAAATAAAACAAACCTTTGGTATAAAAGTAATAACACTGTATTTCTGATTTCGGACGACATTTTTCGTGTATTTATGTTGATGTCCAGTAGCTAGACCGATATAAATAGTTCGGTCACGATATTCTTTCTCTCCACAACAACATCCAAACATTTTCTTCCAACAGCTAAAAAAACAGATACACTAAATAATGAAATTTGTATCTTATTGGACTAATGAAATGAAATACAAAAAAAATTCAAAAATAATTATTAATAAAGAGTTTATCATTATAAGGGGCTGTTTATTTCCCTATCTTAGCCAGTCATGAATGATTCTACAGCTAAAATGTCTGGAATTTTAAGGGCATCAATGTCTGTGCAAAGCAAAACTTTATTTTTTAAACACAAAGTTGACAGGCGATACAAATATGATATTAGGCTAAGAATTTCTTGTAACAAACAAAACTATCAATAAATACATAATGATTTTCCACTGACATCTGTCACATCAAATTATATAGCTAGATTCCTTATCAGATTATTCCTTTGCCTAACTTATAGATAATTAAACTTTAAAGCAATGTCACAGTTTCCTTGCAGCAGATATCCCAAATACAGGTCCTAAATGACATGCTTTGAATGATTTAAAGTAACGTCGTCATAGAACAGGACCACGGTAGAAAACTTGTTAGATTACAATAGAGCAAAAATATTGGGCATACAACTTACCTTCCACACATATCCCACCATCCTTCAGACAGGAAATACCCGATACCTTTATGCCGACCATATCTGTTTTTCCGCTCCCGCATGAGCTGGTCGTTTTCATCCATTTCTATTGTTGATCCTCCACACATTAGGGGAATTTCATCCAAATAATCATCACTTGCTTCAACCACCGTATATCTAACAAAATAAATATTCCATATTGTTTTATCATCATTTTTATTTTACTCGATACTTAATTATTATTAATTACCTAATATCCCTTTCAGAGAGTCCACATAGCTAATAATGTTTATTTGGTATATTGGTTTGTAATCTCATTATACCTTTCAGAGAGTCCACATAGCTAATAATGTTTAATTGGTATTTAGGTTTGTCAACTCAGCATCCCTTTCAGAGAGTCCACATAGCTAATAATGTTTAATTGGTATTTAGGTTTGTCAACTCAGTATCCCTTTCAGAGAGTCCACATAGCAAATAATGTTTAATTGGTATTTAGGTTTGTCAACTCAGCATCCCTTTCAGAGAGTCCACATAGCTAATAATGTTTAATTGGTATTTAGGTTTGTCAACTCAGTATCCATTTCAGAGAGTCCACATAGCAAATAATGTTTAATTGGCATTTAGGTTTGTCAACTCAATATCCCTTTCAGAAAGTCCACATAGCAAATAATGTTTAATTGGTATTTAGGTTTGTCAACTCAGCATCCGTTTCAGAGAGTCCACATAGCTAATAATGTTTAATTGGTATTTAGGTTTGTCAACTCATTATACCTTTCAGAGAGTCCACATAGCTAATAATGTTTATTTGGTATATTGGTTTGTAATCTCATTATACCTTTCAGAGAGTCCACATAGCTAATAATGTTTAATTGGTATTTAGGTTTGTCAACTCAGCATCCCTTTCAGAGAGTCCACATAGCTAATAATGTTTAATTGGTATTTAGGTTTGTCAACTCAGCATCCCTTTCAGAGAGTAAGTTCAGTTTGTCAACTCGACAACTCATGATCAACATAGCAAAGAAAATATATCAATAATTTTGTTAAAGAAGTAAAACAAACCAAACCAACTGAAAGCTAATTGTTCTGCTATGATAATTATAATAGCTAATAGTTTATTTGGTATTTAGTTTTGTCAATTGAGAGAGTCAGTTCAGTTTGTCAACTCACCATCCCCTTCATGTTCCACATAGCTAATGAAGATATTTCAATAATTTTGTTAAATAAGCAAAAACAAAACCATAAAAAGCCAAGAGTAATTATTATAATATGATAATTATACTCGTATATAAACAACTGAATGGTAATTAACTGACAAACTAACAGAAAACATAATTATTACATATAAAACGTATTTTACAACTTCTAACAAATTTAATTATATCCTACTGTTCTATATCTTATTTGATTAATGAGTTCTATATCTTATTAGGTTAATGAAAGAAAATGGAGTTTAATATCTGTAAGCTTACTCTGCAGAATTATTTGAAACAATTAACATATACCCATAATTTAAGTAACCTAAACATCCAGAGAACCAACGACAAAAACACCCCAATCATGTATGTCAAAAAACCTCAAAATACAAGCATTAGGTATACAATTTTGTCATTGCAAACACACATCGATTGGAGGGCAGCTGCTGCTCCCTTCCCCTACTCAACCTACTGACCTGAGGGAAGCCCCCTCCTACCCACAGTGCTACCTTTTTAAGCATATAAATATACTAATTCAAAAAAGAGAATCCATGAACTGACAGCAGTTGATAATTCAAGATAATATAAAACTATACCAACATACCGGTGAGTCTAGCTTCCATTGATAACATTATTCATAATTCATTAATTCTTCCTTTAAATTTTAAAACTTTTATTATTATAAATCTCTACACAGCACATAAAATATTACCATGTCATGTCACTTCCTAATTATATTAGTTTCCACTCCACATAGAGAAATTCTTAGTAAAACCCTCCTCAAGATATTTAATAAAACTATTTCTCAACATGAAAATCTCATGAAATTTAAAACCAAGTACAGAAATTATAATATTTTAAAACTGCATTTAAAGGAATATTCTGTGATAACGGTACCGGTATATAAAACTGTATGACATTTCACCATTATAACTGTCAGACAATCTCAGTGAAATGTAAACTCCATACATTAAAGTTTCCAAGATACATAAAACTTTGACATTTCACCACTATCTTGTCAGATAACATTCAAAGTTCTTAATCAAGTTTAAAAGCTACAGCATAACACTCCACCTCCAGATATTCTCAATCAAGTTCAAATTCTCTGAGAGAGATATTTAACTATGACATTTCACCACTGTTCTAGTCCTATAATAATATTCATTCATACATAATGATATTTAATATTGCACATTAACATATAATACATGTTTATTAAGCTCAGTGTTTGTGTTACAGTGTAGACTGGCCAACCAACCAACAAGACGTTATAACCTGCCCACTCCACACAACACCAGCTGGGAGAGAGAGATATTGATTATTACGGATATACTGTACAGTACTAGTCTATTTATATATTCTATTGTATTTATAATGGTAGAATTAATATCACTGTACTAGAATATAAAAATAATATCTATGAATTTTAAAAGTTCTACAGCATACAGACCAAAGTTAAAGAAAAACTTGACTGGATAATATAAAATAAATATTTTAGGAGTTTAAAAAGTTATATACAAACATAGGTATGATTTAAACCATTCTGAGTGGCTTCGATTGCTATATCTTGGATTTTAAGGATTTTTAATTGGAAATTAGTATTTTTTGAAAGTAATTAACAATGATATTATCAAAATCAATAAATCCATATTAGTTGCTTCATTAATCTCTAAAAGCTGTTTTAAATGTTAGAATACAGCTTCAATCATTTTGAATGACTAAATAGGCCAGAAATCCACCTAGTAAATATTCCTAAATGATGTAAACTTAATTTTTAAATAAATTGCTAAACCAAGTACCAAATAAAAACATATCAGTATTAGTTATGTAAACCTTCTTTCAAGGATTCTAAGTTGACTTAAACAAATACCAAATTAACAAGATTAACAAGGTCTTGAAGGATGCTGAGAGAAAATCAAACATATTTATAAAATTGAATAACCCTTTAATTTGTTCTTAAGTAAAAATAATCATAGATTAATGGGTTTGGATTCAAGGTCTAACAACCTGGTTAAGACGTCAGATGGGAGAGGGATGATCAATAGGTTTGTGTGTATGATTTTTAGTGGAGAACAGTGTCTGATACTTTAGGAATGCTGTGGGGGGTAGGTCACTCTGCCTGTTGTTTTTTGCAACAGACTTGATTTCACTGGAAAATTTATAACATACATTCGGTACGATGGTAATACATTAATGATAAAAAGGTAAATTCAATAACATTGCTAGGCAGAGCAAGCAGGTTTAAATTTTTGACTTGTTTTTTTACCTTTCTGGTACTTCTGTCATACTAAATTCTAAATCTTCAATTAAAATAAACAAAATAATTTAGGCTTTAAAGTTTAAGACTTCTGTTTACAAAATGATTGGGATTCCCTGTAGAGATGGTCAAAGTGACATGTTTCCGTTTGTCTGGGACTAAATTCTTCAGACAATGGAATAGACCAAGAGTATATTGGTAACTTGTAAATTTAGAAATGCAAAGGTGCCAAAGTGTGTGTTCTTCCAATATAAATATTTGGGAGGGGGAGGGGTGTTTTGTTGGCACCGAACAGCTTGATCCGTAACCTGGGTGGAGTCGGAGTAGAGACAAGTCTACAAAAAGAGTCAGGAAAGTCGGCCAGTGGAACAAAATCGTGAGACTGGAAAAAGTTTTCATACTTAGTTCGGCGTGCCACTGTAACAGATCGCCTACTTTTAGAAACTCCACCAAAACTCATCAAATACAAACGATTTTGTCATCCATGTATGACAGTTTCTATTTTTAGAACGCTTTCAGGAACCGGATGTGGATGTCGTCTGTCGCTTATGTCTTTGATGAAAAAAAGTTGAATAATCGACAAGGACACACACCAACGATAAAATTTTAAAAATATCTTTTGAGATACTAATTTCTAGATTGTTTAATCGAAATGATTGGAATCTTTATCTTTGTGTTCAATTTTTATAATTATTTTTGATTCTCATTGTTGTAAGCGATTTTAAAAGTTTTTAACGACCTTGACCTTGTTTTTACTGGTCAACCTGAGACAGTTTCATGAGGAGTTTTTAGTTTCTAGAAGCTTTTGAATATGAGTGTGTACAGGATTCATTGAAATAATCATGAAATCATAAATAAAACAGTTAAGGCTCAACACTCAGTTCCATTGAGTATTGAGAGTAATTAGCCTAGAATCGCCTTTTAGTTTTAGTCTTAGACTCTCATAACAAAAAACAAGAACAGGACAGAGTAACTCTATGGGACTCAGCCCCGTCGATAGGGTGGGTCTGTGGTGGCTGTGCCCAAGCATGTGAGAATTAAGCCCCAGCAAAACCTTCTTCAGTTCAGCAGAGATAGATTCATTACACTGCTTATGTAAAAAATCAAAAAGAAATAGATTTTGATACGTTTTTGGCACCTCAAAATTGTCAGAAATGAGTTGGGGCCTTTAATTCTACAAAATCTGAGCAGATTCATTCCTGGCTATGGGGCTGATGGGACTAACAGATCGAGGACTAGGAGAGGAGAAAAAGACACTAAATTCTAAATATAAATCATTTATTATTATAATAAATATATTGATAGTAAAGAGTGTAAGCTTATTTTATTAAAAACTGTACGAAAAGATAATTTATAAATATACAAGATAAGATATAACTTTATTGTACATAATAAATGATACACCATGGTCTCATAACTTACCAGAACAAATTGTACATACACAATATAAACCAAATTATACAATATTTCGTTCAGGCTCTTTTAAACTAACAAATACAATAAACAACAACCCTACAAAATAATACAAAACAATACGAAGGTTCACTGCATTGTGATGCCCCCCTTTCCCCCTCGCCCTGCAGAATAATACAGAGCTGGCAAACCTATTCATATAGTGATATATTTTGACACACCCTTATGGAGAAACTTATTGATATTACACACAAACCATTCACAAGATGACACTATAAAAATACCTTCTCTCATTTCGCTAAATAAACGCAGATTCGATAATCCATTTAGAAATATAGCTAAAGGGAGGTAACTATTAACTAAACATAAAATTTTATTTTAGTTAAATCATATTAGAGATGAGCTGAAATTTGAAAGTTGGCAAATGGAGGTAACTGAACTAAAATTACAATGTAATATTAAAACATGAAACAAAGAAGAGATTACAGAGTAGTTCAAATTTAAAACATTGCAAATTATCAGAACTTTCAATCTGTTTTAAGCAAAACGTTGCTAAAGTGGTTTTATTGTAGACCTACTAAAATTACAACTAATAATCAAAAAACATACAACAAGACATATTTAGAATATTAAATGGCTTATTAAAATCAGATAAAAACTGTAGTCTCTTCTGTCTTCACAAATACAAATTTTGACAATAACCTATTGATTGAAAAATCATCAAATTCGAACTTAACCAAAATCACATTATTATAAATGATTAGATAAAAACTGTTGTCTCCATTGAGTTCACAAATAAATTTTGACATCCAACATTAATTGTCATTTGTAGTTCAGTGATGTCACTTTCCTTGGTAGTTGCTAAGTAATATTCCAACATTCATGGTAGGAATCCAATATGGCTTCATAAAATGATGATCGTTCAATAGCTTAAACTATGAAAGATGTAGTTGGTCCAAAGGTTTAAGAAAGTGTTCAATAAAATAGAAGACACAAACATTTTAATGTGGGTGTATAAAAAATGACACATGACACGAAATTTTGAGATTATTTCTAGAAACCAAACAACATTTTAATTCGATTGATATTATCTTCTTGACGTTCATCAGCTGATTTTTTTTTACTGAATGCTCCAGTCATCAAGGCTTGTTTTTTCTCCTGTAGCGCCAACATTCTTTCTTCTACTGAGTCTTCTACCAGGAACTAAAATAGGAAAATAAAACTTTTGTTATTATTGTTATCTTCAAAGGAAAGATGTTAGTGGCTGAGTGAGTTTCAGCCAGTTTGTGATGCAGGTTAGAGGAGCTGACATTGACAAGGTATCTAGTAAATAAACCAAGTTTCCATGTGCTACAGGCTGTGCTCTATCATCAGTCGGAAATTGAAAACAGTCTTTATATATTATATTTGGTGGTGCTGAGAACACAGTCTCATAAGAGCACTGGCCAAGGTCACGACTTGTATAAACTAACCTTTGTTATGTTGACGTCACGTTTTTGTCCTAATCTGTGACATCTGTCAAAACACTGTTCTTCTACTGCCGGATTCCACCCCTATAACATACAGAATTGAAGAATAGTCTTAATGTTTACTTTGCCAGCTGATAGAGCTCTATTTCAGCTATCTGTATAGTCATCTAAATATTTACTTCACCAGCTGATAGAGCTCAATATCAGCTATCTGTATAGTCATCTAAATATTTACTTTACCAGCTGATAGAGCTCAATATCAGCTATCTGTATTGTCATCTAAATATTTACTTTACCAGCTGATATAGCTCAATATCAGCTATCTGTATTGTCATCTAAATATTTACTTTACCAGCTGATATAGCTCAATTTAAGCTATCTGTATTATCATCTAAATATTTACTTTACCAGCTGATAGAGCTCAATTTCAGCTATCTGTATAGTCATCTAAATATTTACTTTACCAGCTGATAGAGCTCTATTTCAGCTATCTGTATAGTCATCTAAATATTTACTTTAACAGCTGATAGATATCAATATCAGCTATTTATAGTCATCTAAATATTTACTTTACCAGCTGATAGAGCTCAATTTTAGCTTTTTATATAGTCATCTTAATATTTACTTTACCAGCTGATAGAGCTCAATTTCAACTATCTATATAGTCATCTAAATATTTACTATACCAGCTGATATAGCTCAATTTAATCTATCTGTATTGTCATCTAAATATTTACTTTACCAGTTGATAGAGCTCAATATCAGCTATCTGTGTAGTCATCTAAATATTACCAGCTGATATAGCTCAATTTAATCTATCTGTATTGTCATCTAAATATTTACTTTACCAGCTGATAGAACTCAATTTCAGCTATCTTTATAGTCATCTTAATATTTACTTTACCAGTTGATAGAGCTCAATATCAGCTATATTTACTTCACCAGCTGATAAAGCTCAATTTCAGCTATTTATATAGTCATCTAAATATTTACTATACCAGCTGATAGAGCTCAATTTCAGCTATCTGTATAGTCATCTAAATATTTACTTCACCAGCTGATAAAGCTCAATTTCAGCTATTTATATAGTCATCTAAATATTTACTATACCAGCTGATAGAGCTCAATTTCAGCTATCTATATAGTCATCTTTTTTTTCCTGTCTAGATATCTAATGTATATTTGCATGTATGAAACTTCACTCAACATTATATCACTGAAATGATATACTTACAGGATCCATTAGAAAGACGCGACTGGCTGCCTTAAGATCTAGTCCAACTCCTCCAGCCTTCAGTGACAGTAGAAATATGGTAGGAGAGTCGAGTGATGGGTCCATAAACATCTCCATATTATCAACTCTTTTCTTGTTAGTCATTTTACCATCTAGTCGAGCAAACTTAAAACCATTTAATCTGCAAGATAATTTTTAATAGGTTGTTTTTAAGTTTAATCTAAAAATAAATAAACTGTAGATAACTGTAAATATAACGGCAAGATCAACATTGATTCCTTTAATAACTATATTAATGATAATAGTCAAGAAATATAGAAGACTGTACTTACCTCAATGGTACCTCAATAAGAGTCAGTAGAGATGTAAACTGTGAAACTATGATACTTTTAACAGTAGGGTCATCAATACGTTGTTGAACTAGAGCTTTCATTAATGCATCTACCTACAATTTGTGAATCAATAAATGTAAACTTACCCCCGCAGAGCACCTGACTGATCAGGTCCAGAACTGATCCAGTAGAGATAGAAAAAGATTTCCTATCAAGGACTCTCAAAATGAAGACAAATTACTCGTCCAAGCCAAAACTAAATCAAGGGCAATAACTTAGAAACCTTGTAAATATCTCCTACCTTGCTACTGGACTGCCAGTTTTCATCAGTAATCACAGGTATCTCCGGTTGTTGTTTTTCAGGAACTCCAAACCAAAAACCTAACTTTATTTCTTCTCGACACATCGGACATGCTGTTGTCATCTGGAAATATAAAAATCTTTCTGACCTTGAACATAACCATAATGCAACATTCATAATATAACAAACATACAAACCACAAAGTTGTAATATTTCCAGTTATAAAGCCGTAATATTTCCAGTTATAAAGCTGTAATATTTCCAGTTATAAAGCTGTAATATTTCTAGTTATAAAGCCGTAATATTTCTAGTTATAAAGCTGTAATATTTCTAGTTATAGAGCTGTAATATTTCTAGTTATAAAGCTGTAATATTTCCAGTTATAGAGCTGTAATATTTCCAGTTATAGAGCTGTAATATTTCTAGTTATAAAGCTGTAGTATTTCCAGTTATAGAGCTGTAATATTTCCAGATATAAAGCTGTAATATTTCCAGATATAAAGCCGTAATATTTCTAGTTATAAAGCTGTAATATTTCTAGTTATAAAGCTGTAATATTTCTAGTTATAAAGCTGTAATATTTCCAGATATAGAGCTGTAATATTTCTAGTTATAAAGCTGTAATATTTCCAGTTATAGAGCCGTAATATTTCCAGATATAGAGCCGTAATATTTCCAGGTATAAAGCTGTAATATTTCCAGGTATAAAGCTGTAATATTTCCAGTTATAAAGCTGTAATATTTTCAAGGAGTAAAGGTGTAATAAATATACTGACCGTGTTATTTTGTTGTATGACGTTTTCAATACAGGTACGACAATAAACATGAGCACAGAGTGTTATAACAGGGTGTTTTAGACTGTCTAAACAAATTGAACATTCCTCATCAGACCCAGAATTTAACACTGCTAAGAGATCATCAATTAGTTTCTGTTTAGTTTCGTCATCTATAAGGTCAGTGGTGTCATCTTGTGGTTGATCACCTCCATCCATATTTCTTTCTAAAATTTAGAATTTTTGTATTATGCGTTTGAATCCATATCTGACTAATTTATTTGTTTTTATTTGTTTACGGAAAGACCAGTCTATAATGTTTGGACAACCAGAATCACATGGTCACATGACAATATGGACGTAGATCCGGTAAACCATGATTGCCATTCCTTACTTCTGTGATAAGTTGCA